AAATTATTCAATGTGTTGAAAGGGGTAATTTGATTCTGTATACTATTTGTATGTGTTATTTGCCACTAGTTCTTTGTATTTGTTCAGTGCTTGTTGTTTGTGATATTATAGAAAGAATATACTCACTGGTTAACCTAGTTCTCGCAATATATATATATATATATATATATATATATATATATATATATATATATATATATATATATGTCTGTGTGTGTGTGTGTGTGTGTGGAGAGAGAGAGAGAGAGGGGGGGGAGAGAGAGAGGCGAGCTCAGATATGCCTCGCTCAATCTGAAAAAGTTATTCTTGATGTTGGGCCGCGCGCGCGTAGTGAAATGTAACGTGTCGGCGACGTCACGACCTGAGATCTGCAACGGTCGAGCCGAAGCTGGTCAATGTCAAATTCGTAAGATAAGGAGCTGTAAGTTGCCATTTGTCGCCGAGGAAAAGGCGAAGGAAGTAACGGCTGGAATTTTTTTCCGTTGAGAAACGAAGTCTGCAAGAATTTTGCAAGGAGAGCAGTCGAAGTCTGATAAAAATTGTTGACGAGAGTAGTCGAGACGTTCGAAGTGTTTTATTGTGTGCAATCCGTCGTATTATAAACTGTTATTTTCGGCCAATTTGCCACACAGATTAAAGTAAATCTTCCTTGCTCAAGTTCTGAAGTTCGACGTGGTGGACAGAAGCTATCGCTTATCGAACAGGAATATGTGCGTAAGTTAGACTGATTTTTTGGTGGCCGACTAGAACAGAACTGTGTCGCGAGCGTTCGGAGGTTTCGGGCGAGTGAACGGCGTTCACTACAAAGAGCGCAACCATCAGATCAAAAATCTAACGACGGCGGCCATTTTTTGATATAATCGTGCCGTGAACTAAAACTCTGATCACGATCCACTAATGGCACCTACTGATGCGCCTTCTTTAACTGCTAAGGCGAAAACTCGAGCACACGCAGCTTCCAATCAACGCGCTAGGAATGGAACGAAGGACAAGAACCTGCAACCGAGAAGTGGTGAGCTCAACGCTGGGCCCCAGCCGACCGGCTGGACTTGGAATGTGGAGAAAACGTGAACATCGAACATCGCGGGCGTCTCCTAAAAGATACTGCCCGTCGAGACGAGGCGGCGCCAACACTGAGCTCTGCGCAAGGAGCCAGCGCGCTTCTGATCGCGAGGCGAGGTCACAGAAGGACAGAGTCGGCTGCCAACTTTGGATTTTTGCGGAAGCTACGCCAAGAAGGCAGTGCCTGCAAAGTCCATTCACCCCTACCACGTTGCAGAAGTATGAGTACCTGTGTGAACGAAGGCAGGAGCAATAAGAATAGTATAAATAAATTATTAATAACAAAGTTAAACCACAAATTATAGAACTGATTAATTAAAGAATTGATTTCAAAGAGAAATAAACACAAAATTGAGACTGTTAAGTATACAGGGATTTTTGATGATTGTTTCTCTCGATAGTTGATTTCAATGCTTATTTTGTACGTAAATCTATTGTCGACCTTATTCAGAAAAATATTTAAACAAATGTTAATTGCAAATAATTTCGAGCTTATGAAAGTGTTTATTTTTGTAAACTTAAATTTGTTAACATGAGGTGACGGTCGTAAGGACACACATTACTTGAAATTCGTACCAGCTGGAAGTTCATGCGATTAGTATTATTAAAGAAGTGAATTCAGAATTCCTAAACAGAATCTCTGGAGGGTAATCAAAAATAACCAACTCGGCAGGTCCGAAGGTGGATCGGCGGTTGATGCGTCGTGCGTTGGAAGTATCACCCAAGCTGAGCAGCGCTCACTTAGAGTTAACGACAACTTGGTCACTAGAGTTGTTTAAATTGTCTTAAGACAATTTTAAGCATACTTCTTTCAACAAACAACTCACAACATTAATAGTCATGAAACAGAAGTCTCATCTCGATAAGACTAGTATCTTTGAGTGCTACCATGGGTGCCATTGCCAGGGATGACCCCTCTCCCAATATTTTTTTTTGGAATGCAGGGCATATTGGCGGGGACTCCAAGCGAATTTGCATATATCTTATCTTATTGTTTCCTCCCAACAATTTGGTGCTGGAGACACCCATGACAGCAGTTGATTTACCTCAATATTAGGAAAGTGTGTACGATTCAACATGATACGTTTGTCTGTAAATTACTCGAATATTAATTTTTGTTGCAAGTTCAACCAATATAGCCTAATAATGTCTGCAACTATATTTGCTTCTGAATGCAATCCATAAGTATTTCTTATTGCCAACTTAAATAATGATAGGCAATGCAAATCTACGATACTAAGGCAAAACCAGATTTCAAAAAGTCAATTTTTACTTGCTTGCAGGCGCGGTTCGTCATTAAAGACTGTAAGGCGGAGCCTCCCCTACAGAAATCAACGCCCAAAATAAATTAAAAATGTATTTATTTATTAATAATGGATTTCTGGATTACATTATGTAACGATAATATCAATGTTTTTCTTTGGCAGTTCGATTATGGCCGACCGTAACGCATTTGGAGCTGATGACAGGGAACAGAAAAGCCTTTGGCTGCCACTTCATTCCGCCTGTGTAAAACGAGGCAGCGTGCCGTCATTCATTCACTTCTCAGGCTTACCGGCGGACGAAGGCGACGAAGAAGCATTGCACTCAACTTGTTTTCTCAATAAACGGTAGTAGCTCTACTACCTTATGCCTGTATCGGAAGAGATTGTGTGTAGAAATACAGTATTTAAATAAATCAAGGTAAGCCCAATATTATAAGGATGTAAGGTTAAATTGTTCGTGCGGTTGTGCCCCCACCCCCATTTCAGCCTGCCTGTGCCTACGGCGCTTAAGCATTTGCAGCTTTCCCTAGAACACCACCAGCCGCGACAGAAAAATCGCATTATCGGGTCATGGTAACGAAAGTGGATAAACCTTATTCCTCTTGGTAGAAAATTTCTTCAGCATATGTAGTCAGAAACCACGTTTTGTTAATCTTTAATATCGAAGAATTGATTGCCGGTAAATTGTTGGTTTGTCCCTTGTCAGCACTAGCCCCTAAACTGTTCCGACGAATTTCTCAAAAACTGATATTCCCCGATCGATCTCAACGAACTCCAGACCCTGCGAGTCTGAAATGGATATTTAGAGATTGGGATTAGTTTACATGAACCCTCAACATTTTAAAAAAGTTTTTCTATAAAATTGTTCCAAATTGTTTATTAAACTTTGTCCTCGGAAAGCGTAAAGAACGCTTCAAAAAATGCGCAGGTCACATTTTCGTTGAATTCTCTGAATTTTCGAAAATCGCAAACATTTTTCGGCTTCTTCCTAGTTACAATATCGAAGATGCAGGTTTTTTCCATTAATGAAATCTGTTGAAAGATCTCAAAATAAGGTCATGTACAATTACTTGAAAATATGAGTAATCTTAGAAGATTTTTGCGTGAAATGCAGGCAATTTTTAAAATTTTTTTTTCAAAAACAGTCTCCATCTATTCTAAACAATTAGGTGTTTAGATGAGGGAATATATATTTTTTTAAATAACGAGTTTTCGTGTATTTTCTTCTTGAAATTAATACAATTTATAAAACAAAATGGCTTTTCAAGAAAAATAGGTGGGTTCAAATTATATCTTTACGTGTTCCTCTTGGGCAATCAAGGGTACAAGACTCATTTTCGTTTAACACAGGATTTTGAAAAAAATACCTAAGATAGAAATAATGCTACGAACCACTAGTTTTTAGGCGTCAGGAAAGCTAAGTATATCCGTGCGAGCGGAGCGCTGGTGTAGCGGTATGTGCTCAGCGTTTTGACAGAAGGACCTGAATTAGAATACCGGTTCGAGGAAAATATTTTTGTTGGTTACAAACACTTTTGCAGGTTCATGTGGTAGTATAATATTGTGTACACGTGAAAATACAAGAAAGTATGTATTGTAGCAAGTTAGGTTTTTGATTGTTAATATTTTAGTTATCCCGTGAAATTTCGGATTGCACTTTCAGATAGTAAGATGTCGCGAAACACTTGACTAGGCTTGCCACGTTATCTAATATTTGAAAATCAACGTTCGTTTTTCATGCGCTGCCCTACCATTCCCTACCCTGCCATAGCACTTCACGCGCGTTGATTTTTTTTATGCTGACTCAAGCGCCCCTGAACAGAAGCTCTACGCAACCCGGCACACCCTCGAGTATTAAGCGCTGCACATTCTGATCCTGCGATTGTGAAATATCGGCTGGAATTACTTGAAAGTTGTTTCAAAGAAGTAAATTTCTTCAAGACAGTGTCATGGAGAAATTTGATCGCAAATGCATGCCCGAGCTGAAGGGAGAACGTTTTACAAAAGGATACTTGACATTTCCAAACCAATACAGACCAAACCCATACTCGCAAAATAGTTTACGTAATAAGGGCGCGAAACAAGTGATTCTCGCACAAGTCGTTTGTCGTCCGAGCGTAGCAAGGACAGAGAGGAGTGCGGGAATCCCCTCACGCGTGTTCCTTACACCATTTTAACACGCTATGAGCGAAATGCAATTCGTCCAGTAAAAGAAAATAAATTAAATACCAAATAACTGAAAATACTTTACGTGTACAAGAGTAAATGGATTCCAGTCACGAGCCGTAACAGTTTGTAAATAATAGACATCAAAACAATTGCGAGTAGTTACAGATATTTCGCATACTGAAAAAATTAGTTTCGCACACCTAAAACACGAGAACACCGCATTTCGCACGGGGTGTGTTCAACGTCTTTCATTTATTACAATTTGGAGGGGGAGAGGGTCGTAAAACTGATTAACAATATCATGACCAGAAGCGAGGGAAGTGTAATATATTGCAATAGCGAAGCATTAAAAACAAAATCACTGACTGCAGTGGAGCCTTGGGTATTTTGCAACGCAAAGATTTGTTTTTTAATTTCAATAGGGGGGAAAAATATCAGGAAACGTGAGGAGGGCACAAATAATACACGATTTGTTTTTGTGTCAACAAAAGTTCAGTATCAATCTCTGCAATCAGAAGTGCACCAAAAAAATTTTCTTCAGTTTAAAAATGCACTAGTGTGTAAGTAATACCGTAATTCACAATTCAAAAGTAAAAATTCCACTACATTAATCGGTCATTTCTCTCAATTTTACACCCTACATTTTTCAGTTTTGGCCATTCCCTTAAGTACCACATTCCTTTTCAACCATCTTTCCTGTTATCATCCTACTGAGTTTTTTTTAGATGGATATCCTATACATTTTCTAGTTACAGAGAAGGAATTTCACAAAAACTGTATGATCTCCTCTGCCTGAGAAGGATAAAAACCTTACGAATAAAACCACTGAGAATGCATTAAAATTCAACAATACTTTGGAATTGCGGTCAAGGTGTGATAAATGTCAAACTGACACAAGATATAGAAATCTATTTTATTTATATACACAATATATCAAAAACTTACATTTGAGGCGCAGTTACATCTGTTCAAGCTGTCTAGCTTATCTATTCCTCAGGCTCTTTTAATGAGGGATTCTGGTACTACATAATCCTTACTTTGCCATATTATGGAACAAATATATCAATGAATTTTTGCAATGAGCATCTCTTTAATCATTAATTACATCAATACACAAGAAGAAATTATGAAAGAGTGGATGCTCAGAAGTATCCGCAACATTAAGCTTATATTGTGAAGGTAATTTCAAATTAAATTTCTTGAAGATATAAGAACACCAACTGGAAGTAACGGTATAATCCAATTATATCTCTTTAAGAATTGTATTAATGTAACATTAAGAGGTACCACTTAGTTTTCCCAGTTGATAGGGAGAAAACAAATTACGTTTCCTGAATACCAAATGAATTTTTGTACTTCCATCTCAACCCAACAGATGTTAGTGCAATTAAAGTAGAGTTTGAGTGGCCAGAACTTTATTTTAAAGGGGAATGCAAATCAACTATCACTGGCTCAAAAACCAGCTTCTGAACAAGTACCGGAACTATCACCTCAATTAATATAAAGCCTAGCAGTTAGGGTGCCTTACCTGAAAAATACCTCCAGAGTTGCATAAATTACATAAAACTATTGCAGTACATCATAGTTACTTTACAAATATATCATACTTTTAAGGTTTATACTCAAAATAAAGGAATCCTTTTTATATTAAATTAGTATTCGACGCAAGAAAAAAGGTGCAATTTCAGACCCTTCCTCACTAGACAAGATTAAAAAGAAACAATACTCAATAACAAAGAAATGTAAATCATGAAGATGCAAACAATCAAATGAATGCTTAAAAAAAATTTGATTTGCTTAATTTATAAAAACTAAAAGCAATTTAGCAGTCCAAACCATTTTTCCTAATCTGTGTTTTCCCCAAATGTTTTAAAACAAACGTGCAGTCTGAATATTCTATGTCTAAACAAATTTAAAGACACAAAGATAATCATCTCTCCTTTTATTTATTTTATATGCAAACAGTTCATTTCTACAATATCCGGCACACGCATAATAAATAAAATCTGCATCAATTCAAATAACAAAAGTGCTGCATACATGTCTAGCAATAATCCATAGCGGCAACACCCATACATTTCTCTTAAAACTATTCAAGAATATTAAAGGAATTCTTTCAGTGGCACCTTTGTGGCTCCCAGCGAGGAGAACTAGTGAACAGGGTAGTAACCATCTTTGCAAACTTTTGTTCAAAGCAATTATATTACAACTTGTAGCCATTTGCTCAAACTGTGTCACTTAGGCATTGTACACCCAAATATACTATACAAACCATTAGCATACATGGATTACAAAATATACAAATCAATGGAAAATAAGATAAAAGTTGTATGTATAACAAAATGAAATGATTAAACTGAAAATAACAAATGCAGTAACAAGAATAAATACTACTAATAGAGAATACCCATGTTGATTTTGGAAGTTTTGCACTTCTGAAGCACTAGAAATTTTGCACAAATAATGTGTAACTTATCACCTGAGTCAGAAGGCTGGGGAGAATGAAATTTCCACGAGTCACAGGCGAACCTATGGACAAGAACTATTTAATCTTTGCATGTCAACTTACACTTGAAATTCACTTGAAATTACTAATATTACAAGTACCTTATTTCATTATATACAATGTTTGAAGTGAAAGAAATTTTTTGACAATCAATATCAAGTATTTTATTTCCCATTTCCCCAAACAGAACGCTTTTAACTTTAATGTTTCTTTCAAGAATTAAAAATGGAATTCTATTTATCCATCCTTGTGCTCGACGTTCAAAAATTTAAAAAGGTTATGCAACATGTATTCTCCTCTAGTCTACTTTGTGAAAGCCGCAAACACAGCCCACACTGTCTCATTGGTGTTGGGCTTCATACTTTCTGCCTCGAAGTCCAAGTCAAGCAGCTCTCGCACTCTCTTCATTGCTAGCTCATAATCATCATCGTTGAGAGGAGCAAAAGCATTCTCCAGGACATCTGATGCATGAGCCAAAAAGATAAGTGATAAAAGACGTTTGTCCATACGATGAGGGTCATTGACCCACTTGCCAAGGACAGCATCTTGGACCTTGAACAAAAATCAACACATCTTTGGTACTTGAATATATACAAAACAATTGAATTTTAAGATTCAAATTTTATAACTAATAAAGTAACTGACCCAAGGATAGTTTGCTTGCTACAACTTAAAAGTATTGAATAAAACTATCATGTTTGTAATTTAGAAGCAGCACACACACAACAACAGAACCAGAAAAAAATGAAATAAGGAGAAAAGATAACATTGATACCTTTTCACGCTAGTATCCGAACTCAAATTTATAAGGAAGTCATGATATCATAAACTAAAATTTAACTGACAAGTTTTTCAATGATAATTACATTTTTAAAACGCCATCTAACAATCAATATTCACACAATAAAAATCGAAATCCAAGATGAAATAGAATAAGACTGTTTCAGGAATCTAGTAGTCTGAAATGTAAATGATCACCAACACTTAATATAAAACATTTAATGAATGGTGTGAAAAATAAGTTAATAAACAAAACATTAACTATAAAAGAAATTTGGTGAGGCAGCTACACAGAAAATTGAGAAAAATGTGCAAGATTGAAAGTTCAATGGCAGAAACACTTAATTTGCGGATGATACAGTGGTAATGGGTAGTCTTAAAAGTCAAGAATGAATGCTTTTAGTGCTGCATGAAATGTAACAAATATATTATGTAAAAATAATGTCCAGAAAACATAAGTAAGAATATAGGAAAAAATGAATGGAGAACTCAAATAAAAAGTATGTACAAGTCACAATTTTTTTTTAGCGAGTGAAATCACCGATGTAACTACATAAATCAAACAAAGAATGGCTGAAACAGATGTTTTCCAAATTAAAAGAAATTTATTAACATAAAAATATGTAGTGATCAATGGAAAAAGTAGTAAAAATATTTCTACGAAGTACCTTTATGTCAGGAAAAGAATTCAACTTGGAAAAACAAGAAACCGTTTGTCCAGAGGCAGCCAAAATGTGGATATGGAGAGGATTATAAAGGACCAGCTGGGCTGAAAAGAAATTAAACCAGGAAAATTTTAGGTCATTCTGGAAGGGAAAGAGTCTTGGAAAGCAGGAAGAGGCATTCATAAAAGAGAACTTTGGCCTTGAAAACTTAGCTTTAGAATTCTAAAGCTTTGTTGGAATGATAAGAGCAGCACAAGGAGCATTATATGGCTCTAAAAAATATCTTTAAATGATCAGATGACCGAATACCATTGAAATAACTTTCAATTTGCAACATTATTATCACAAAACTATACATCTACATCCCAGTAAGTAAAAATCGAAAGCAAAAGAAATCTAAAAACTATAAGAGGGAAGTTTTGAAAAGACAATAAAGAACTGAAATGTTATCAATGAAATCAATGAAAAACTGACATCTTAATTAAAGTGCAGAAATGATATTGCTTGATAATTTTACAAAAAAGACATTGAAGGAAAAATTCAGTTTGCTATCTCAAAATGTCTTAACATGGTTCATGGGAGTGAAATTATGGGTAAACAAGCAAAATAATATCACTACTTAAGAAAATTAAATGTTAATTATGCTTGTGGGGCGAGATGAGAGACTTTTCTCCTCATCTTTTCGATCAGCAACCAGAATGGTTTTTCATGTTCCTCCAAATAATTTAGCTTATCAACCATATTACAAATTGCAGTTCACGAATGAGACTATCAACGTCAATGAAAAAGAAAAACAAACTTGCAAAACTCCCCGAAGGGAAAATGAAAGATATTGAGTTCACATATGCACCTGTAAGTAAATTTCTTTCCAGTTTTAAGTCGCAAAAAAACACTGTTTACAAGGGGGTTGTCATTATTTCTGAACTGATCCAGATTTCTTTGTGATAATATGCAATGTAATATAAAAATTATGTAAAAAATGAACACGATATACTCACAGAAATTGGGTAATATGAGTAAATACATTTCACTAATATTTAACAAAAACTAAATAAAACTACAAGAACATATTACGCAAATCTACATTCATTATACCATGTGAACATTGCCACATTCTTAGAATGTGCCTGTACGGTACCATGAAAACCTAAAATTATCTTCAACAATAAAACTTATCCAATTCATTCACTAGCAAAATCATAAAAGCAGCATAGATCACCAAGCATTAGCCATACTCTCCTAGAATGAAGTTTAACAAGTAGTACTGAAACACCCAATTAATGAGAAGGATTACCTGGTTTTAAAAGACTCCCCATTACAGTTTCATGAATAAAAAACACAGGCAACGATATTTTGTTGATTTACAATTAACCCACTTAAAATTTTTAGACTACAAATATTTTTCTTGCTGTTTGATACAATTTTGATGTGGGTACAAGCCAGTGAAGATCTTGAAATAAGTGACTTGTTTTAATGCAAAATGACAAATTTTCAGGACACACAAATACTTCTGCCTAGACCATTTTCACTGCATGAATGAAATCAATGTGAAAAATTAATATTTCATCTAAAACAGTTTCCCATCATTCACCTCATTCGCATTCATAAACATGAGTAACTTCAACCTATCGTACTAGAAGAGAACGAGTAATACACATGGAACACTTTACAACTTTTTAAAAGACTTGTAAAACAAGTATATTTTTCATTAAGTTTATATATCGCAAACAAAAGTTTGTAAGACAATTACCATTCTCATATTAATAAATTATGACCCAGCAGTAAACATGACAATAACATTCATTCATGTTCACTGTTGCAATCACCTCATTTCCCACTAGTCATATCATACAATGTTATCAAACTGGCAAAACAATATCACTGCTTTTCTATCACAGTTCACTCTGTCCTCAAAACAAGTTTTAGACAAAAGCAGGTGCTAAATGAATATCAAAACTTCAAAATATTGGAATGTTTTATAGCTGCCTAGTATAAATATATTTATTTGAAGATTGAAACATTATAATAATAATATTATTATTATTATTATAAAAAATCCTCTGAACAAATGATTTTCAATGTATATGTTGATAGAGAATTTCCATCTAATACTGAATAGAAATGAACATAAATGCAATTCCACTTCTAAATCTTATCATTCATGTGCTAGGAAGATATCATTTGTGAATTCATATCTACAGAGTAAGCACACGAAATCTTATCTTAATTACAGCCAGATGGTAACACTAAATACAGTTTCATACACTGAAAAATTAAAATAAATGCTTGAAATACAAAAAGTATATTTTTCAAACAATAAAATAAACACTGCTATTACCTTCAAGCAACAATTCAATTTTTTATAAACAATACTATTTTATATAACTATAAGAACCAATTGTCATCTAGTCTCTCAATATTTCATTATATATGTTGTAAAACAATTCTGTGTAAGAGAACAACCCGCAAAATAAAAGAATCTTTCCCATTAAACAATTTTTTACTGTGCACAAGTTTCAGTGAGTGCAAATGAATTGCAGTTATAATGAAAAAAAAAAATCTTAAGATGAAACCTTGGGAAATGGTCCAGAGCTCAATTATTGGTCAACAAGAAATTTCCCTTTACACTCAAAAGTTCTGAATGGAACAAACGTTTGTGGCAACACGATCACCATCACCATCACAGTCATCACCACCACCATCACCACACAATTAGTTTAAAACTTCAATCAAGACTTGCACCTGCTGGCATGTATACAACTATTTTTATTACCTTTTTGACTAATCGGGATTTAGCTACATTGTCTGTGAGAGGATGTGTTGTCATGTCAAATAAAAGGAAATTTTGCTTTTCTGTAGTTAGCACACCTTTTTCAACCAAATTTTTTGCTAGCCTTTCTCTCACATTCTTCAACTGATAGCGGAGCTTTAAAGGATTCCAAGTTTCACCTGAAATTAAAAAAACAATAATTTCCAGCTCTTTGAAGCCACAGCATCCTGACAATACTTCAACTCACCACTGAGGTACTCAATCCAACTCTGCACAGTCTCAGGTGGGTCTGTCTCTTTCATGTGTTTTAACGCTTCATCTAACAAAACATCCCCTGTAGGGGTATCATTTTTCAACAACAGTTTGCGGTTTAATAAACTTTTCCGCCTCATGCCAGCTTTTTCTAATTCAATTCGGCCACGAATACCCAATTCAATCAAGATGCAACCTCTCAAACCACTTGAAATGCAATCATTCCAGAAGGAGGTGTAGCCCTAAAATGCAATGGTGAATGATTCATTAATACACATTTCATTTCACACATACTACTATCCAAAGGCTTCACTAATACAATCAGATTTCAAGGTTGGGTTTTGACACATTCAATTTATAGTGCTTAATACCTCTTTATCTTTCAACCCTAACAGAAGAACCTCTTCCATGAGGGTAAGTCTTGTTTCTTTTGAATCTCCATCTTCCAAATCATCGTCACGATCATTTTTCTTCTCGTCCAAATCCAAGGTATCTTTTGACACTCCTTCCCCGTTTTCCCGAGAAACATTTCGTCTCTGCACTAAACCATCACTCCGATTCATTGTAATAATGTAATCGGTTTTCTAAGTTACTAACCTATGGTTACGATAATATAACGAACATTACCGACGTTAAAACCCTGTTGACATTTGACGTAATCTAGACTACACCTACGTGCTTGAAATTCACCAATATGGCGTTTGCTGATGTTACATACTCTCAAACCCAAAAGAGATAAATAACACGGCCACAAGGAGAAAAAAGCTGATCGTGCAGTAAATACTAACAGCTGTGACATATCGAAATTCTGTGACTATTTCTTTTACTAAATATTATCTCTTTGGCATTTCGAATTTGCTCTTCTTATTCGCATTTCAATTTAGATCAATCGAATATTAATACCACTTTACAAATTAACATGTTAACCCACACCCGTAATAACGAATTGTATTATACGTACCATTTAACTTTATAAAGTAACATTTTTCTTCACCCAATGAAAGAATTTACTGGTGGACGTATATTATATCCTTATTCTTCATTTTCAAAAATAAAAATTTTGTCTATACATAAATAAGAAAAAA